CAGGAATGATTTCATGGGCTCCTTGTCCTTCGGGATTTCTGAGCTGCAGAAGTCGGGAGTCGATGGATGGTAAGAGTTGCAATTGTTTTAAAAATACTACTGGCAAAAAGCAGTCCTGATGTTTTTGTACGCGATGGAAGATGTGGCAGCCCGTCGTACTTCACCAGCATCCTTCTGTTCAAGGACCACCAGTCGTTTTGGCTCCCGTGTAAGGTGCCACTCCACCTCTGACTGGTGAGAATCGCTGGTGCTGTGGTGGGCCGTGGGGTGTCCCAGGGGACGGCCAGAGGCGCCAGGACAGCATCTGAGTGCCCCGCATGGGCTGGCTTTGTGTCACCTCCTCTGTCTCCTCCTGCTCTCCTGCGGGGTCGCTCGGGGGGCTTTTCCCTCCCAGGGGCACGCACAGACAGGGGCGGCTCTGCCTGGTGTTCATGGCCAGGAGGGCTGGTGCTCCCCGCGGGCTCTTGCTACATAGGCTTCACGGCATCACCTGCCAAGTGTTTGCTGAGCAAGCATTTTCCAGCATTTTCTGGTTGGATTCCCTTAGTTTCTGTACTGGGGAGGCAACGTGGCTTCGTCAGGCGCGCAGGAGAGCAAGCCTGTGAGCGGGTGAAGGACTGGGGGGACACGCTTGGAATTGTGATTTGTGGCAGGGGCAGCCGTTTTGTACCACGCAGACTAGCAGAACCAGTGCTGAGGGGCACTGTTCAATAAAAGGAGGAGTGCTACCAAAGTGTGTAATTACTGTTGCTCGTTACCATATGAGAAATGAACACAGTGGGTCTGTAACACCCCCACTGAATGGGTCTCTTCATTTCCATTTTATCTCCCCCAGCAGGACACATGCCGCCTTATTTCCCTTTTTTTTCCCCAGCCACCAATGCCTGAGAGCCGTGTTACCTTTCCATGTCAAGTGTAATAATTGAAAATAGATATTATATGTCTTTTGGAAACCAAAACCTGCCTGCTATTAACTTGCATTCCACGAGTTGAGCAAACACCCCGGACTCGTCTTCTCCACCGTGGAAGCTGTATGTGTCTCACTTAAAGCAGAGAATGGAGAGGAGGAGGAATTAGCAGACGGGCTAGCCTGCCTGCACCGCGCCGGGTCGTGCATCTCTTGCACGCAGAGGTGGGCTTGGAGGGCTGGCACCATGCGGGGCACCCACCGCCTCCCCTGGCTCAGCCAGGGCAGGGGGGGCAGAGCTGGGGATGCTCCTGCTGTCTCGTCCTGCCCGGTGGGAGCCCGCAGTAAGGCAGGTCTTCCCTCAGGGAACACCGACCCATCGTGGGGCTGCAGGCAGGGTCTGGCCATGTTGCCCCGCGGCAGGGCTCAGCCTGTGAGCCTCGCTTGTCACACACCAGACCCTGATTGAGACACGGCTTCTCTTCTGGAAAACAGAAGAAAACTGTCACTTCCCCCCAAATTTCCAGTCACCTGTAAGGATGCGTGTGTGTTGGCTGGGGTTGGTGCGCTGCTGGCTTCTGACGCAGCCCAAAGTCTGATTGTTTTCCCAGTCTTTTAAAAAATCACGTAAGTGGAGATCTAAGTAATTTTCCTTGACACAGTATTTGGCTAGAATAAACTCTAGAAGGAGCTCTGGTGTATGTTTCATATCTAAACAACTGCAGTTAATGGAGGAAACAAGCTCAAAGGAAGAGTCTGTCCCTATATTATGCAAATAGCACTTTGGTGGTTCAGTGCAGCCTCTGTAGGTAACCCCCAGCCGATAACCGTCCTCCGGCTGCCGGGAGGGGTTTGCTGATGGAGCCAAGGCTTTGCCTGCGGCTGTGTGAAACGCCTCAGATCTGAATGACGTTTCCGTGATTTCTGATAATTGCCGCTTAAACTTTTTTCCTTTTTTTGGTGAGCAACTCGGCTTTGTGCTCAGGGTTGTCAGTGCCAGCGCGGCACTGGCGGGTTCTATGTGCTGTCCCCGTGGAGCCCGGCTTGCCTTGGCACCTGGGGCAGCTGATGGGGAAGGAGCTTGCCCAGGCGTGTGCCCGTGGCTGTCACGAGAAAGACGTGCTTTGTCTGTGGGTTTTTGGGTCAGACTTGTGTTTTGGAAGAAGCATCAGTGCTTTGTGGTGTCCACCGCAGCAGGTAGTGGATGTGCTTCCCGGGCTGTGGTAGCTGCGGGGAGGGACCCCAGAAACAACCCTCCGCTCGGGTGCGTGTCTGGGAGCTTGCTGAGTGGGACAGTTTGGGGGTGTGAGGTTTGGGGGGGTCTTCTAACCTTGGGGAAGGGTCACCCGGGTGCTGGTACAGCAGAGGCAGAGCTGTGCTCGGAGCGGGAGGTGCGGTCCTGCCTGCCTGCGGTCCTGTCTGCCATCCTGACCTGATGTTCTCGCTGTGTCCCTCCAGGTTTAAGCTTCTGAGCCAGGAGGAGGGGGAATATTTCAACGTCCCGGTGCCTCCTGAGGGAGAAGAAGGAAATGAGGAACTGAGGCAGAAATTTGAGGTGAATTGATTTTTCTTGGGAACTCAGGGGTTTTCCTTGCTGCCTGCCTGCCTGCCATGCCCTCGGCAAGGGGCTTTCCCTGCCAGCTCTTTCCCCGGCAGCACAGGGAGCGCGGAGCAGGGTACGGCCCATCGCTCCTCCCTTGCCCTGCTTTGCACCCGTTCTTGGGGACCCATGCCCTTGGCTGGTCCTTCCCAAGGCTCTCCGTGGCACGCCTGGCGCTGGGGCACAAGCTTCAAATGGTGTTTCCAGAAGGTAAGTTGTTCAGTTACATTTAACAAAAAAAAGTCACTGAAGATTTGAAGCTTTCCAGCAATGGTTTGGCTATGTTAAACAGTAAAAAAGGACCTTGCTGGATCCATTTGGGAATGGCAAGTTTGTGATGCATCCGCAAGCGGTTGCTGCCTCGCTGGTGCAGCGCTGGGTCATGCCACCACGCCAGGCTGGTGCTTCCAGGGCAGGGGAGACCGGAGGGACGGCGGGTGCTTCGAGCAGGGATCTGGTCACTCCTCGGATCGCTGCAGCTGCGCGGCTCCTCCAGCATGAGGCACACGGGGGCCCAGGAGCAACTGCGCAGCGGTCCGAGGAATGATGGGGAGCTGGGACAGATGAACCAAATGGGGTCATTTTGTAGAGGTTTGCAACAAAGCAAGTTAAGGTGAACGGATTCCGATACACCAGGAGCTGGAAGTGTGGGGTTCATTCGCGTGCAATTTTCTGACGGGATTGGCAGGATGGTTTTTAATCGTAGCACACTGAATGAGCCATCCATCTCGCCCTTCTGGAATACTCTCTTCTAATTTGAAAATACAGTGATCTCCCTGCACATGTGTGTGTCTGACTTCATCTGCGATAGAAGCAGGCAGTGGATTAGCTGGGAAAGGGAACAGTCGTTTCTGGTGGATGAGGAGATGAGAGACAGGAAAATGATTCTTTGGCACTTAGGTCGAAAATACAAGAGATAATATTGCACAATGCGCAGTTTTGTGTGATGTTTGTGTGGTGCCTTGTGCTCCACTAAGAGTGTGCTTGATCCCCTGTCTCTGCTTCCTGCGGGTAGGAAGGAGTCTGAAGTCCCATCATTTTTAAGAAGTTATTTCTTCTTACTGCAAAGAAAGCAGCATTGCAAACATCCCCCTTTCATTTGTGTTGTTTCAGACCGTGTCTGTCTTTCTGTTAGGGTTACAGAATTCACAATTTGTGTTTGCCAAAATGAGTACAGCGTAGCTAAATAAGGAGATACTTCATTTAATGTATTTCCAACGCTGTATTCCAATTAAAGAAGGACGAAGATCCTGGGTGTCCCAGGATGACCTGATGTAACTGTGCTGATGTCTGCACGTGTTGTCGGTACAGCAGTTCTACCCTCGTTCTGAGGTGCCGTATAATAGGATTTGTTCGTCCGTTTTTTCTGTCATGCTGCTGATTATGAATTAATATAATTAAGATAAATTAAGATATTAGTATAATTGGATTTGGAGCTAATCTCAGAAAGAAACCCTTTCTTAGCCGTTAAATGTCGTGGCAGCCTCTGTACCCTGCCTTGTGCACTGAGACCGGGCTGGGGTTTTAAGAGGGTGATGGTTGGGTGAGCTGGCACGTGGTATCAGTGATCCCTGACGGCGCTTTGCACCAAGGTGTTACCGACAGAAACGCTGCTGGAGGTGTAAGCCTGGAACACTAGGAACACGTACGAGCCGGTGATTTAGTTTTCAATAACCTAAGTAATGCATGCCTCCCGCGGTGTGTAGCACTGCTCTCTCAGCCCGGATAGTGGGTTAACCTGAGGAACCAAGAGTGGAGTCTATGCTAATTGAACTACGGGCTAATTGATGTGGCCAGGTGACAGTGAAGGTCAGACGGGTGACAGTGAAGGTCAGACGGGTGACAGTGAAGGTCAGACGGGTGACAGCGCCTTGTCCGAAGCGAGGCCGTAACTTTGAGGTGAAAGCCAGCAGCACCAGCCAGAGTGCTCAAAGGGAGCGGCGGGGTGCGAGGGCTTGGTGCTGCTGCCAGCTTGGGCCCGGGCAGATGGAAGTGCAGAACAGTCACGCGGGGAAAGCGCTGGTGGTGCCTGTGGAAAGCAAAGGACATAAAAGCAAAGGGCTTTTCTGAGTGAATGCAGATATGGGACTTCAGGGAGCCGGAAAGGCTCTGCAGAGCGTTATCACCCCTGGGGTTCCCCGAGGAGCTGGCCCAGCTAAGCTGCTGTCAGCATCAGAGAGCATCAGGGCTTTGCACTGGCAGCGCCAAGGACCTGCACGGAGGTGAACTGAAGCTGGTGAGATTTCCATGCCAGTCTCTGAAAGGTTTCAGTGATGCTTGGGTCCAACTCACCAAGAGGCTTCAAGGAGAAATGTCTATTTGCTACTCAATAAGCCATGGAAGATCTTGCTGGAATGATTGATCCAGACATTCCTGAATTAATAGGTCTTTGCTGCTTTCCAGTACAACTAACGTCTTCCCAGAACCCTGAGAATGAATGTGGTACATCTGGAGACTTACATGAGCCATACACAAAATAAAATAGTTGCCCTTATGTTTGTCAGTGTGAACTCCATTAATTGTAGCATGGGACTGGAGAGTTGGTTCATTTTTCTCCTTTTTTTTTAATTCACATTTATCTCATTTATGTATAACTTTCCTGAATATCCAAGAAAATAAGACAGTTCTAATACAACAGTTGGCATACAACCAATGGTTGTCAGCTCTATAAAGAACTAACTACCTGCTTTTACTGCATTTCTTGACATTCCAGTGGTGTTAAAACTGTATGTATGTTGGAAGTCAGATGATGAGTTGTCTACAGATCAGAAAATACATTGTCCAGAGGTGTCATTCCACTCTGCCAGTCTACATCTGTACCCTCACCTTGCTGCGTCTTCCTCTGTTGCGTCCTCCTTTGTGAGCAAGTCAGTGTTACAAGGAAAGAAATCCCTGGCCAGCTGAGCGATGGCTCGTGCTGGCGTCCCGAGGGGCGAGGAGCGCCCTGGAGCCTGGTTGTGATGCAGCAGCCAAGGGTGCTGCCACGGCATTTCAGACGATAAGGACTAAAAAGAATCCTTCAATCGATCTGCATTAGTGCTGCTTGATCCTGCCTGCTCCTGCCAGCGCGAATCAATAGGACAAAGTTGAGACGCGTATGACAGGTTTATATTTTGAGTGGACCTACCATTGCAAAAGCACCCAGCTGAAAGGACTTGAGGTGTCAGCCTGGACGACGCAGAAGACGCACGGATGCTCGCAGGGCTGCCAGCTGGAAAAATGCCCCTTTCTGGCAGCCTGCGGTGCCGTTCCTGGCCAAGGTGCTGCTGCTGCGCTTCCTGCAGCCTTCTGTCTGCAGCGGGCACCTCCCGGGCTTGACAAGGAAGCGTCCTGAGACAAAAGCACAGCGTGAAGCCTTGCACTACATCGCCTGCCAATTCTGCTTGGTCTTTATCAGCCGCTTGCTGGGACAGCTTGATAGATGTGAATGTCAGCTGCTATTGCATAAATTCAGATGTAGTAAATTAAGTATGACAAATGGAGTTGGATAACGAAGGTCAAGTGCTTTTTAAAAAAAATTTTGTAAACAATGTTTAGCACGCTTCAGTTGTAAACCTTAAAGAGGTCTCGAGATTGCATGAGCATCAGGAGTGTATTAAAAACAGGTTAAAGGACTTTTGTACTCAGAGATAGACATTAGAGACACTCGATAGCAGAAGTAAAACACTTCACTCAGGGATGATGTTCTTTACATCTCCCCAACTCTCATGTTGGGCTCTTTTCTGGAAAGACCTTTCCCCCTCCTGGCCAAGCTACACGCTGAGCCTGTTTTATCAGGGAAGTCACGTTGTGTTCATATCCTCATCTTGTCTCCTGTGCACATACCGTGATGCTGCGAATTCTGGTCAAGTGCAAGACTGACTGTGGCTGAAGCAGGCCCTCGTTAAACGCAGACTTGGGAGCAGCTGTGGGCAGCAGGAGGGACCTGAAGTCACTCTCATGCTTGGGTGCCCGGTGCTCGCCCGGGTGTCTGCCGGTGCTGCTGGTAACGCTGTGCCTGAAGCTGGCCAGTTTGCTGGGCTGAAGCAAATGAAAATCCTCTTCCTTCCCCCCCTCTTCGTGTTGCTCCTTTCTGCTCTGCTCAGGACTGAAAGCCTCCCCCTGCTTTGGTCAGTGCTTCACGGAGTCCCGTGGCCAACCCCGGTGCTGCTGGGCTGCAGACGTGCGGGGGAATACGGGCTCGTCTGAAACAGCGGTGTGCTTTTGGGTGTCATTTAATGGAAACATAATATTGCCCTTGAATTTTACTACAGCTTGTTTTCACAGAGGTTAATTTAGTGTCAAATCTGATCTGACAAGATTGTTTTTCAGCTGTGATAGAGCATTTAGGAAGCTTTCACAGACTATGACTATTTTGCCTGCTGATAAGTACACCTTTCTTTTGGAGTTAGCTTTGAAATACAATAGGGTGAGGATTGCTGAAGGCAAAGTTACACAACACAGGGCTGGCTTCGTGGAGGCGCAGAGGCCGCTCTTGTTCCCTTTGCCCACGTTTGGATCCCTCTTCGGCCAAGTTCAATGAGCAGCTTTTGGTCGGTGCCAGAGCTGCTGTTTGTCACCTGAGCTGATTCGAAGTAAAATGCTCTGGCTGGGTATCCCCTTCTTTTGGGGACGTTGTGAAAGCCTAAAGATTACAATGAGGGAAAATCCGGGCGGTTCGGGAGAGGTGACTTTGTTTCCTTTGCAACGTATGCACTTTTTCCCACTGGAAAGCAGGCGTGCCGCGTGTGCGGCTCCGCTCGCGGCAGTAGCAGGTACGGGGCTGTTGAATGATTTCAGCCTCCTCCCCGGGGCAGAGCTGCGTTAGCAGTTACGATATTGGCAAATTCTGGAGACCATTCCTTTAGTTTTCAGTGCAGGAGTTTTTCAGATGTTTGTAGGTGCTGCAGGTGACCTTGAATGGAGAATTTTACAGCACGGAGAACCTTGCAAGAACCAATTAGCAGCAGCAACGGCTTGGAGATTACTTGTGAGGCTCCTATCTGGAGGAGCTGCGAGTAGCAGCCAAATTGAACTGCTGGGATCGGGTTAATGGAATTTCATGCTAGACTGAGCTCAGTGCAAGCCTTATACTGTCGCATATTTCTAAAAATTAAAACTGAATAAATTGTGAGATAGCTTTTACAAACTGTGGTTCAGCAAATTAGATAGCCCCTGGACCAATGACGAGGTGCCAAGCAACTGATGAGTTTTTGTGTTTTAAAATGTGGGGGTTTTGTGAGGCTCCTTAATAAGCAATTGTGATTGCAGCAGCTCGCACGATTGCTTGGGGATGCAGGAGGAGTGCTTTCTATTCTGGTTTGTTCACAATGGATCTGTAGCTTCCTGCGTTCAGCCTGAACTGGCGCGGGAGTGCAGTTCTCTACAATATCAGATAGTAACGGAGGTGGAGCTGGATAAAAAGCCCTGTGTTTTACCTTAATGTATTTATATTCACCTGTCCTTTTCTGGTGAGGTGAGCGACAGAAGTCAGCTTTGAGAATAAATAGCTTATTTAAGCCTCTGTTCTGTACTTTGGATGACCTACAACATGTTACGGGGTAGCTCCCCGGCGCGCAGGCTGCCGTGTCCCGCTGGCTGCGGGGCGAGGGGTCGCGGGGCAGTGGGCAGACGCGGTTCCTGGTTGCTCTCACAGGGATTAACTGGGCACCAGCTGAACAGTGCAGTGTGTTGGGGCTGACAATGTCCCCAGCGCCCTTCTTGGTGCTGTCCCCGTCACGCTTACAGAAGGGGTTCCCGTAGCTCAGGGTAGCGTTTGACCTGGAAAAGAGTTGATTAACGTGGGATTTCAGGAGCACTCACTGGTTTTATAATGACCTTTGTCCACACTGTTTTCAGTAGTTTTTTCTCTTTTCTCCCCATTCCATCTCCATCTTTGCAGAGAGCCAAGATTGGAACGGGGTCCAAGGCTGCGGATGAGAAGACAACAAATGCCATTTCTAAATTTGACAACAACGGGAGCAGAGATCGGATGAAACTTTCGGATTTCAATTTCCTGATGGTGCTGGGAAAAGGAAGCTTTGGGAAGGTGTGGTACCACATACGCCTTTGCGCTTTCTGTATTTAACGCACGTTTGTAGTATTTCTGAGCTGTGGCCGTGTGGCTACTCCAGCGTGATGTGTCCTTGCTCTGCCTGGGAGCACTGGTGTCACGGTGATGGGAGCCCAGTTTGTTGGCTCCCTTCTGGGCTGTGAGACTCCTGTGTCACAGTGATGTAGATCTGAGATGTCTGATCAGGCCATCACAAAAATCAGATGCTTTCTTTTGGGAAGCAGGGTGTGTACTGTGTCTTTAAAACTCTTCTTTATTTGACCATTTTTTTCTCTAATAATTACCAATATATGTGAACATTTTAATTAACTTTCCAGACCGGTTATGAGCAGTAACAGAATTTCAGTCGTCAAGTAATTATGTGACTTGGAGCCTTCGTTTTTCTTGGGGTCTTGCCAACTTTGTCATGATTTCCATTAGAAATTCCAGTCCTCAGGTGGCTTCTCGAGCTTCACAGCCCGGAGCGCGCAGGAAGGTGGGCTGCTGTTGCTGTGCACCAGCGCGGTGTTTGCCGGTGTGATGGATGGCCTGCTGCTGCTCCGATTAGTGAATTGCCTTAATTGCAGGGAATATTGCTCTGCCTTTGGGCACATCTCTTGGGCGGGCAGCGGAGGCAAGGAGAGAATGCCAGGGGAGTGATGCTCACCCGTCGCCTGCTGAGCACAAGGGGTGAACCCACCTTTCACAGCTGGCACCCGTTCCCTCCCCCAGCCTTTTGCCGCTGGCGTTTGAGCTCTGGGAGGTCCCAGCCTCTCTAGATGGGTGTTTGCTCCCTTTCTGGAGGTGGAGAGCTTAGAGATCCACTGAAACGTCTGTGGCAGGAGGAGAACGGGGAGTTCCTGATGGTCCCCAGCATCCAGAGCATCAGCCTGCGGTTCCCCCTGCCAGCGATGCCGCCGAGGAGGAGGAGGCTGCCGTTACTCTGTGTTTTACACCTTTGTTGCGGGTTGGCACCGTAGGGGAGCAGGAAAGCCCTGTGCGTTGTGCCCGTGCTGCTGTCACTCAGTAATGTATGCATATCTCTGTTTCCGCGTCGCTTTTGCCCCCTTTTCTCTCCCTCCCAACACCTAATCCCTTTTAAAGTCTGTGCTTGGCATCTGGAAACTCTGTAGTTGTGGGTTTTCCCCCCCCTCTTCTTTCTTTTAATTTGAGAAACATTAGCAAACTCTTCAGTCGGCATCATGGCTTATATAAGGGAATGTGTGACAGAAACTGTTCCCTGGAACAGAATGTTATAAATATGCTAATTAGTGCTTATTAAAACAGCACGTTGGTTTCTACGGTTAGATGCAGCCTCACCCTCACGTGTGCCTGCGCCTCGCTGGGGAGCACTCCCCCGTGGCCTCCCTCCTGCCTACCCGGCATCCCGCTGCCCGTCCCCCCAGCACGGGGACACCGAGGTGGCACGGCGCAGGGTGCCCGGCGGCAGGGCCTTGCTGCAGAGGACGCTTTGCTACCTGCTTGGTTTGCGCTTGCACGGAGGTGCCAGATGTTTCGGAAGGAGCCGGGCAGAGGTGTGCAGATCCACGCCGTGCCGGCGCTCGGCTGGCAGGGAGAGGAGCCCGCCTCCCCGGTCTTGGCTCCCGGCAGGTTCCCAGCCCTTGGTGTGCCGGAGCAGCCGGTCGTGTCCGTGGCAGCAGCGTCCTTCTCCAGGGCTGGCACCGCCTGCTCCTGTGCTTGGCTGTGTGCTGCCAGCCTCCCTCCTCCCGGTCCCTGCTGCTGCAGTTCAAGCAGGCTGTGAGAGCTCTTTGGGTATAATCGCGCTGTTTTAGTGAGTCTTTGTCTCAGGCATAAGCTTATTAACCCTTTGGCATCAGTAGCTCAGATTTACTGCTTAGTGTTTTTCTCTCTCCACCACTACGGCTGTCCAGGGTCAGGAGTACCTACATGTTGGCCTCGGTGGAGTTTAATAAACTTGCTTTCTCTACTTTCAGCATCAGAATATCTCCATTTACTATGCTGGAGCATTCCCAAACAAATTATATTACAGGAATAAATCAAGTTAAATATCAGCTTTTCTGCACAAAAAAAAAAAAAAAAAAAAAAGCAGTCTACTTTCCAGAGAGTGAGCTGGCAGATGGAGGTCCCCGTGGAGCCAGGCATCAAGGTTTAGAGGATGGAAAATAGCTCTGGTTGGAAAATAGCTCAGGGACAGCGGCTCGGGCGTGTGTGGTCCTGGGTCTGCGTGTGGCCCTCAGTGCTCCTTGGTGTTCTCGGGTCTTCTTGGTGGTCTCGGGTCTTCTTGGTGGTCTCGGTTCTTCTTGGGCTGCCCCCCGCTGCTGCTGGCCCTGGCCATGGGGTCCGTCGGAGCCCCCGGGAGCTGTAGCTGGTGGCAGTCCTCGCTGGGCTGGCAAGGGGAAGGGAGATGTTCCTGACTGAAGAAGGCAGCACTTGGCACAGCCCACCCTGGGTTTGCTTTGCGGTAATATAAATAGAGGAAAGTTAAATTTGTGGCTTGCTCATATTTTTGCAGCTAATCAATCTGTCGTGCTATCAAGCTGTCAGTCTATTCTTGGGGTTTTATGGTGTTTTTCTGAGCGGGGCTGATTCTTTTGCCTCTGTAGTTATGGATTAGAGTGCAACGGGAGACAATTTTCATGTCCTGTGATAATCTTCAAGCTGTAAAATGCTTTCCTCTCCTTCCTTGGTATGAAACGTGGCAGAAGGGCTGGTGGTTGGTGCACTCAGGCAGGGACTCGGTTTCTGACTTGCGGAGTTGTGCTCTGGCCCCTGGGCACGTGGTGAGGTTTGGGTGCACGCTCCCTCCTTTACCAACGTGCATCTTGTGCACAGCTCTGTTCAGGGCGTTATCAGACTGCGCTGGGTGCATTCGGTTGTTTGAATCTTTTTGTATTTACGGTGCAACGGGTCCCAATCTTTTTCTTTACTCGCTGTGTCATTATCAGCCGTTGCTGAAGCCCGCTGCTCATCAGTGGCTGTCCCTCTCCTGAGATCTTAGCTGTACCCGAGCTGCAGTCACCATAGGAACTGCGATGCCAGCGTGCTGGAGCCAGCTTTGAGCCAGCCCTTGGCGCGCCGAGCTCGGAGCAGGCTCCCCTGCGCAGCTGGACGGGCTGCGGCTCTGCGCTGCAAGCGGTCGC